GCAGAGGAATTTACATGAAGGCAAAACAAATGAAAGCAATGTGTGGAATTTTGTTAAATATCTGCACAGCAGTTCAGTTAAATATCTTAAGCACTCACAATCTGCTCTGGAAAGATGTCTCAAAAAATGTTTCCTTACACAGTACAAAGATCAATTCTGAAAGCAACGAGCAATCTACTTCATGTAGATTCTACTAAGGATTTTTGAGCACAAACAAAAATGGAAAATATCCATGACAATAACAGAATCCAATTGGCTACAGAGCCTTTAAGAACCCCAAGCAAGTCATGAACACATTCTGGAGAATTCATAATCCAAGTAGTATACAGATTTACTATGGGTGTAGTAATTGGATAAGGAAAGAACACAAATTAAAGTATCTCAGAAGCAGAAGTCGATCTCATTGAAGAACACAAGCAATCTTTCTGGAGCATCAGCTTTTGCAAGAGCCATCACTAGAAGCACCCAGCCCTTGTAACCTAATCTCATTCTGCAAGGCTTAGAGCCAGCTCTGAGTCTAGAGAGAACAGCCAATGACCCAGCAGCCCCTGATGTTTGGACCCCATTGGACCATTTTAAACAGTATCATCCCCAGGCTAAGCACAGGGCTCAGACACTTAGCATATTTAGAAGCTTGTTCTAATGGACTGCTGGGATTGTAAAGCATTGCAAACCACTGCATAGGGAGCAAGACAAGCCACACCTGCCTGTTGTTCTCACGTGTTTGCATCAGTACCGATATGGATATCTCTGGAGCATCATGGAAGTCCTTCTTAAGTCATTTGATAACCAAGTTATTGTTTGGGTGTGAATGCCACACAACTCTCTATTGACTACATCAGAGAAGATGTTTTGAAATTTCTGACATACACAGTAGACCATGCAACTTGTCACTGTGATGGTTATTTGTATCTCAGATTTGAATCTCCAAAATTAAGTATTTATCACTTAGGAAGGTGACTGGTACAGAGTAATATAGTATAAACTGAATATGGCATTAGCTCCTTTGGCAGTACTACCCAATGGAAATACAATGTAATCTCCTCACAGTTTTTCAATCTTCTAGTAACTTTTCACTGTTTTGCACTGCTAGGGAAATGTCAGTACCCATTAGCCATTGCAGGTTGCAGCTGTCATACTGATGGCATAGCTCAGAGCACTTGCATTGCTTATGGGTGATGACAAGCCAATCTCAAGGCCTTTTCAGATCTGCAATATCAATATTTATTGAGATGCTTGTTTTCAAAAGCTGCCTCCTTCAAGCAGGGTACTGATCCAGGTGTTTGGGATATATTTATTGCAAACACTTTAGTTTTATCACCTGAGCAGGTGTGCAACTTTGCTTGGATGGAAAGTATATTGTAACCTACACTGGAAAATCTTTGCTGGCTTCTTGGCAAGTGGAAAAACCATGGGCTAATTAGTGTTTACAGCTGATTCACAGCTATGGCGAATGCTAACTTGTAGAAAGCAATGCAAAAGCTATTTTTGTTCCTGTGTTAATTTCCTTCTACTGGGAAACATCCCTTGGAAAATACAAAAAATGTTGTTTGTTCTTTTTCTGTATTTGGACCTGTGTGTGTGTGTGTGTGTGTGTGTGTGTGTGCAGACTACTATCTGCAACTTTCTGATTGTATTGTTTGTCTCCCATTTTCTGGACTGAGTCTAATAGCTTCTTATTCTTCTAAATCATGGTAAGTCAAGTTCAAGGCCCTCAGCTTAAACTCTAGTACTTCCAAAACCAAATCAACCAACAACAACAACAACAAAACAACCCATGATCAATTGGTCTGTTGTTTTTGGGCCTGGGGTGATCCAGAACATCCTGCTGGGTCCTCATGGCAGAGAAAAGCTGTTTACCTCATGACTAGGAAACAAAGCTAAAGAAGAGACTAGATGGGGGGGAGGGGTGGTGGAGGTCAGAGGTATACACTGTCCTTCTTAAATACCTTCTCGCTTGACCTCTTGAAAGTTTCACCACTTCTCCATAGAACTACCCTGAGAACCAAACCTTTATCCCATGAGCTGCTTGAGATATTCCAAATCCCAACTATAGAACTGTCCAAACACAAAATAAATTGAAGGGCATGTGTTGGTTCTGGTGTGATATTTATATTTCCTTCTTTGGGGCTGTCCTTGGCTACCCTAATCTTATGTGGATGAGAGATTGGGTAAGGGATGTTTATCACTCAATTTCACAAATAAAACATTGAGCCCCACCCCCACCCCCCAGTTGGTGAATTTCATTTACAGAATCCTGCTGAGTCTTGGAGAGCAACCATCTTTCTCCTCCCCCTTCATTCTTTTTGTTAGTTTACATTAGTTATATGGGGGCATGAGGGACTTTAGTAAGAGACTTCTACAGGTTTCTAATGCATTTCAGCCCATCTTACCCCCCTGCCACCCCTATCACTCTCCCTTTCCCTTCAGCAGATTTCATTGTTCTATTTTCATAGCGAAAGCAACCTTCTTTGGAGTTTACAGTTAGATTAGTGTGGCCAAATTGAGGCACTAGAATAACCAGAGGACAGTGGCCATAACCAAAGGACAATGGAACCTTGCTTGTAAAGGCTAAGATTGGGCTTAGGATATTAGAACCCACAAATCTCTCAGAGACCATATAGTGTGATACTCCTTTTCCTGATTAGGAACCAGTAGAGCTGAAAACACTTGGTGAATTTGAAAAGTAAGTAACACAAATGCTCAAATCATCTGCTCTTGCTGTTAGTATTCAATGGAATACATATTACACTACGGTTCCTTTGCTTTGGAGAAAGGAATACGCAAGCTGTTCTACCTAAAAGATGAATACACCTCAAAGATTGTAGGCGGTCATTTCATTTTGTGCTGCCTTCTCTTAAACCTTTTCACCTGGTCTTGGTCTGTATTTAAGGACATATCCAGAACCCAGTTAGCATTTCTAAAAGGACTGAGCAAAACCACCAATGAGAGGACCCGCGAGGAATCTGGGAAAGGATCTTATCACAACCAACTACCAAGAGACCATCCCTCTACCACAATCCCTCACCATGACACACTTGTTGATGCCAGAAGATGGGGTTATGAACTAATGAGAATAACACACAAGCGGGACCTAACAGACTCTTCAGCAGTCTTTGGGACAGAGTAAATAGATGAGAGTCAAGGCTTCAATGAATCAATGGCTGATTTGCCTGCCTCAGACAAGCATTGTTTACTGTTACATAGTAGTTTAACTCCTGTTTAGGCATGGTAGTGCACACCTGTAATTCCAGCTATTTAGCAGGTGGAGGCAGGAACATCACTCAAAAAAGGAAAAACGTTGGGAGATTGACTTACAAACGAACTACAAACCAAATGATTGGGGACGTGGTTCACAGCAGAATGCTTGCCTAGCATTCTAGAGGTCTTGGATTCAATGCCCTGTTCCAAACAAACATCCCTCCACCCCCCAAAAAGGCTTGTAAACTGTTTGTATAGAATATGCACTTTTTAACATTTCTAAGGCACCATCAGACACCCTGAATCATGCTTCAGATTTTATGTTCCCACCTGTTCCTGCTTAAGCAAGAATGAAATGCTAAAGGCAGAAAATTCCCCCGTGGGAATTTTTTTTTAACTCTATTCAGCATAGTAAGGTACTGAAATAACCTGCAGTACCTCAATGTTAAGCATGCTGAAAATAATGTTGTAAATAACCAGTATTAAACAAAAAAGAAGCATTTAGTAGGTCATATTTCTTTTAGAGAGTGATTTCATTTGAGCTGGGAAAAGGGACAGGTAGGGGAGTGGTCCATCTAGCATTCCAGTGGCCGTTCACCACTTGCGAGAGCAATCTTTTGATTTAGGGTATTAGGAAGTGCAATTGAAAGCTCAAGACAGGCTGTTCCTATGAGAGGCTGGGGCAGGAGGGCCAGAGAGAGTCTGACCTACAGATGTTAAGACATTGCCCAGCCATAACCTGGTTTCTGTTAGCGTGGATTCACTCGTCGGAATTGGCTGTGTGCAAGTTCAGCTGACTTCTTACCGCAAAGCCCAGCAAAAGTCATTCCACCTGTTTATTCTAGAAAGCTGTGCAAAGAAAAGCTTTCTGCGTCTAGCCAGAAGGGAAGAGGTTGGGTGCATAACCCTTTCTGTCGGAGCGTCGGGCTTTGAAATCCTCCACGACCCCCAAAGGCCTGTCTTAGGGGCCAGGGGAAGGAGGGGACGCTCGTGGAGGGCCGGTCTGCACCCCAGAATCCGCTCGGAGGGCGTCCCCCTTCTCAGTCCAGCCTTTCCGTTCCAGTCTCTCTTCTGAGGCTGGTCTTTTTGTCGGGCCACCTGATGGGTGCTGGGAGCCGAGTCACTCCGACCCCAGGCTTCGGTGCGGGGTGGGGTGGGGGGCGCTTTCCAGTTCACTTTCTGTTCAGCAGTTTTGGAAACTCGGAGCCAGTTCGGTTCCGGCGAGAAGGGGCTTGGCCCGGATCGGTGACTCGGGCCGCCTTCCCCCTGCTCCGGCCGACCACAATTTCCCGGCCGACTTTCGCAAGCTGTCCGGGAACCAGTCCTATTTGCGATCCCATCCGACCCGCAGGGTCGAGCGCGGTGTTTCCCACTAACTTCAGGTTAAGATGATGAAGATGCCGGACATGGGATGGTGGGGGGGGGGAAG